TTATATAAAATTTTAAATATATATACTTGATAATCTAGTAAATAAGTTTACTTAAGATTAATTTGCAAAATAATAATTAAATTTATTTATAATAATTTATTTAAGTTTTTTTATTATTAGAAATTTTTAATTTTAAAAACATAAATTATAAAAAATTTTAATAAGATAAGTATTCAAGTAGTCTTAAATAAAATTTTTTATTATACTCTCAAGTATATACTATATATTTAAATTTTTATATTATTTAAATGAATATTTATAAAGAAAATTAAAATATCTAGTTTTTTTATTACATATTGTATATATTAAAATATATATTAAAATATTATGTGATTTTTAAAAGTAAATTAATCAAATTATAAGATTAATATGCAATAAAATTTTCAAATTATTAATATTTTAATATATAAAAATAGTAATAATTATATAAGAACTTGTTAAAGTTACTGAAAATTAGTAAATAATTGTTTTAATATTTGTAAATAACTTTACTTATTATAAAGTTTTAATAATAAGCAACTCTCTATGTCATCATTTATGAGATTAATTTTTAAAGAAGTTACTTATTTTCAAGCTCTTTAAATAAATATAAATATATTGATAATTAATAATTCAAATCAAACTTTTTATAGCTCATCAAATTTATCTTATTGAGGTAATTATGTTGTGATTTTTTTATTTGAATCTGGTCACTGATTATCAAAATACTCAGAAAATATTTACTGTTATATATTAAAAATTACTATCACAAATAGGAGTTGCTTATTCAACTTTTCTAAGACTTTTGAATCTGAAGAGCAGGGGTTGCTTATTCAACTTTTCTAAGACTTTTGGATCTGAAGAGCAGGGGTTGCTTATTTAAAGGGTTGCTTATTATCAGGACTTTATAGTAATCACTAAAAACATAATTATTTGATGGAAGTTATTGAAATTATTTTTATGAATTCTCACCTAAAATAAAAAATATTTTATAATGAAAAATAATAATAGTTTTATAAAGACTTACTCAAAATCTCTGAAAATTAGTTAAATAATTGCTTTAATATCTGGCAAATAACTTTACTTAGTCACTCAAAATAGGATTATTAGATGAAAGTAATTGTAATCATGTCAGTAATTAATTGTATAAACTAATAAAAATTAAAAACATTCAAGTGATAATGCGGCTGTTTTAACATATTTCATATTTTATAATTTGATTGATTTATCCCTTATCGTGTGATAGTCCGGGATCGAGATTGTTATAAAAAAGTTAAAAAATAACATTCACACGCATTGAATAGTACTGTTTATCATCGTGATCATTTTCTCATATATATTGTTCGAATCAGCACGCGTTGAAGAATACGATATATCATCGTGGATTGCATTGCATATACAGTATTTCCCGAACGAATTAAAAAATCCGACACCGATCGCGTATATCCATCTGACCCACCCGCACATGTAAATATTTCAATCAAATACTCTGTGATTCAAACAATTTCTTATTACATGTATACTCCATTATGAATCTACAAAAATTTGCAATGAGTTGTTTTGTATAAACTCAATTAAATATAAAATATATCTCCAATTAACGAATTCGTAATCCGCAAAACCACCAAACGATTGCCATTTAGTCATGTAGGTGCGTATAGAATTATCATAAACATATGGTCTTTTTTTTTAAAAAAAAGGATCCATTCACAGTAATCCCATAATGCAGGCATTTATAAATTTCTTCAAGAATGGGCAAAAAAGTTTTACAAGAAGTTAAACTTAAGGTCATTGTCATTTTCTCTGCTCATGATAGAATCAAAGGTTCGCACTTATTATGTGTATTAATATATGTTGACACCCAATGCAAATTTTGCATTAACATGTCGCATCTTTTGAACATTAATGAAGGCGTTACACCATTTTTTTCAAAGATGTTAGATGAAACTTATTACGTTAAAGGTTCTCCAGAATTGAGATCGTTGATTTATTAACTCAGGTATAATAAGTGATGTTTTATTGACATCGTGCACAAGTTTATCTTTAATCACCAAATATTATGGTTGCAATTAATTACAGACTAATATCGAAGCGGCGGTGGATACAGAACGCGGGTGCAACCATGGTGCTTGGGCAGCTCTTAAGATAGCATTTCTCGAGCCAAAAGATATACCAATGGTTCAAGTGTCATTTACTCGTAACGCATCATATGAACCTCATATTAGAGTTGGCCAAGCTTTCTTTAAATTTATAATTATAATTAATAAATTTGAATTTCTACTAAGTCATTCCGGTAATACGTTTATCTCGTACGAAAAATAGAAATGAAGGAATCCTACGCTCGAGCGAATTACTTCCTAATATATACCTTTTGACAAAGACCTTGTAGGCTACTTGAAAGAACTTAAAAGCGAGGAAAGAGCAAAATTGATCGAATTGACAAATCATCCACTTTTGATCCAACAGACGAACATCTTGTCCCTCTTCACATTATGGCCGGTGGCTGGCTGGCTAGGAAGATTTATCAAGAGATGATTTCTGGGATGAGGTATAGTACTATAAAATTTTACAAAAATTGAAGAATTAATCATTGTCTTTAGCATCGTGTCATCTTTTCTACATCCATTTGTTTTTTTAGCAGCATGTTAATCCATTAATAAAGTTATATTGTCATTTAATTTCGTGTGTGTTATTCGACATAAAACTTGGATTTCATAAGAATTTTATGAAATATTGGAACTCAAATTGACAAAATACATGTTTCTATGATTGCGTACCGTGGAATTGCTCAGAGCGGTATATTTTTCTGTATTTTTCTCGAAGTTTAGCTGAATAGGCATACTGCAAGGATATTTCTAAACACAGAAGTAGTTTAATTCACATCCCTAGCAAAGTTTCTGGATAGGCAGCAGGTTTCTTTAAGAGAAAAACAGTGTGCTTCTATATTTATTTGAATAATAATATGAGTGAGCCCTGAAAAAGAAAATCCGGAGGTCACGTTTTATTAAAATTGAACTCTCGAACATTTTAACTACAATGATCCCTAACTAAAGCCAGTTTACTGCATTTGATGCGCAAACCGAAAACTTATGATATTCAAATTAAAAAATTAAAAAATTCGGTAATTTTGGGACGCGATATATCGACGTTCAACAGCTCAATATGAACAAAAATGGAACCATTCGATTCTAGATTAGCTAAATCGAATGGTCCTGTTTTATTCAAATTGGATTGTTGAACGTTGAGATATCGCGTCCTAAAATTACCGAATTTTTTAATTTGATTATCTGGTTTAAATAAAACATAAAGAGGGTATTATGACGCAGCTTAAATCACTCCAATTTTCATCCATAACTGAACTTTACACAGCACGCAGAAACCTTTGCATACTATTTACCATATCCAAAGAATTTTATTATAAATGGGTCTGGCGCTCAAATTCACTATATTCCGAATTTAATTAGTGTTCGTGAGTTCACTATTTTTAGAATCTAAAGTAAATTAGTAACATTCTGTCAATTATTAGAGAAGGTATAATTAGATTCTGCATATGGCGTATTAATATTTTCTGACCCGGCTACTTTTGGTAAAACGATATAAGTTCCCCTCACTGTAATAATAAATCCGTTGTCCACTAGCGTTTCTACCGGCGCCCCACGCCCTTTTTGAAGGACGGGAAAATTAACAAATCTGTAAAACAAGGGCTTAATCTCAGCACTAAGATTACTCTACTGCTTACAATATTTATCCGGTTCAATCTTTTGCTTCTTCCTGCCTTCTCGAGTTCCCATGTCATTTTAATAACGAAACCGAGAATATATTATATTCAAACATCACACAACTCAGAACTAAGCAAGCTCTACGTTATTACTCATTATATGTGCTATATGGTGCTTAAAGCAGTTAATGCTAGATTCAGACACACAGCTTAACACTTTTCACTAAAATTTATTTAAAATACTTTTTTTTATTAAAATAAATTTAAATATTACTGTACAATAGTATTACTACAAATTATAATTTACAATTACAGTGATTCTATATATCCTTCGCATTCTATGGTGATTGCATAATCTATCTAATGCAAGTCAAAAGTTTTTAATTTTATGTATATAAAAAAATGCACAATGAATTCAGTGCAATGAATATTTGCCTTTAAGCAATTAATGCTTGTTTTTAATAATGTCTATTTATGTTTTGTTGATTTAAATTAATGTTTAATGAATTAAAATGTTCTTTAATTTTGTTGACTTATATGTTTGCATGGCATGTATGATGTATATAATCCTTTGATTTGTTGGCTTGTATGTTTGCATGACATGTATGTTGTATATAATCCTTTGATTTGTTGACTTGCATATTTGCATGGTATGGATGATGTATATCATCCTTTGATTTAGTTGACTTGCATATTTGCATGGTATGTTTGATTTTTGTTGACTGCACGATATGTATGATGTCTTTGATTTAGTTGACTTGCATATTTGCATGGTATGTTTGATTTTTGTTGACTGCACGATATGTATGATGTCTTTGATTTAGTTGACTTGCATATTTGCATGGTATGTTTGATTTTTGTTGACTGCATGATATGTATGATGTCTGATTTTGTTAACTTGCAATCACCATAGCATTCCATCCACCCGATTTTCCAATCATCCTTCTCCCACCTAACCGTCTTTCCACTCCTTTTCACACAATTCTCCAACCGTCCTATTCCCACCTAACCGTCTGGTTAGAAACACCCAAGCCCCACCAAGTGACAATTTCTTGTTACTTAATGAGGCTGGAGTCAGATACTGCCCCAACACATCGCAGCACTGCATCGGTTACCCCACT